TGAACACACGTTGGTTTCGGTGTTCATGCAGGGTCTTGCGGATGGTCCCGTCAAGACGCACCTGTTCCGGCTTGAACTAGATTCACTAGAACAAGCCATTTCCATTGAGGAACAGGAAGACTTCAGTCTGAGACAGGCTCGCGCCAGCTCGACATCGTATCGTCAACCGAGACGATATGACAACGGAGGTCCAGAGCCGATGGAACTCTGTTATGTAGAAAGCGAGAAGGCTCGCTCTACCGACTACAAGAAGTTGCAGAAATGCAACAGATGTCATAAGACAGGACACTACGCTTACGAGTGTAGTGCCCCTCGTCCAGTGTCTCGCAACACTGGGCGTAGTGACCATCCACCCATGAGAAAGGGGCAGGGACGCGGGTCCGCTGTTGGTGCAAAGACGCAACAACGGGATGGACCGTCAAAAAACGGACAGGATCAGTAGGTGCGGAGCACCCTACTGGTCCAGCAACGTCAAGAGAATTTGTAGGCCTCTTGATGAAGGTTGCTCCCAACACACAAACGTTGTGCGTTGCTGCTCTAGGTAATGAGATCTCACTCGTTACCTTGAAACTCGAAGTGACAAATAAGTTGTCCCTTCGAGCTCTAGTCGATTGTGGGGCGTCCAACAATTTTGTGCGACGCCAATCGCTAGAAGATGGTCAATTTAAGTTCAGTGAATGTGACACACCTCCTACGAGGATGACGGTACGTCTTGCGACAGGCGCATCCGTAACCGTCATGAAGCGTATAGTGAAGATCCACTATACGCTAGAAGATACCCAATATGACGATGACTTTATCGTATTGGATTTGGATGACAAATTTGATGTCATCCTTGGAATACCGTGACTCAGAAGGTACGAACCACGGGTAAACTGGCAACATCGAACAGTAAAGATGCCTGCCGCTTGTTCATCAGATGGCCATCTGATGAACGCTTTGGAGCGTCCACAAGCGTGTGGATGTACTACGAGTGAGTGCGATGGCCTCACTTGTGGTACGGTCGTTAGTACGACTGCACAAAACCTTAGTGTAACAAACGGTTACACTTCGGAGCAAAGTTCCGGCGGTTGTGAGGAAACACAGGCTGCGCCGAAGGTCCACCACTCGAATAAGTCGGGTGGACTGGGACAAAGATGTATCCCTAGCGGGAACATCTAGAAGAGAAACAATCGATCGCTTAGGTAAAGCGAAACGATAATCCTAGATCGACTGGAGAGTCTTTCGTAGAGGATCTCGCTGTGGTTGCGCAACCCCAGCTAGAGTAAATAAAGGGAATAAGTCCCAAGATTACAAATACGGCGGAAATAAGTTCCCCGAAACCCGCGGGAATAAGTCCCCGGGAAGCCGAAGGAATAAGTCCTTCGAGGCCTGAGGGAATAAGTACCCAGGAACTGACAGAGACATTGAATGTCATAGTCAAGCAAGTGTAGGCGCTTATACACTTGATCTGATTGCGCCTCCGAAGTTGACTTCGGAGATCACTCAGTTGCCAACGCTCGAACATAAAAGGTTCTTGCGTGATCTGCGTAGTGGCAAAGTCAAGCAGATCTGCGTACTCGTCGCTGACGACGAGTGAGTAGCCGACATAAGGTCAGCAACAGTGTTTACTGAGAACGAGAGAGTTTTCAGTAGTTCATCTATGGACGAGAGTGTCCTGGATGAAAAGACACGAGTTGAGCGATATGACTCCCAATCGTGGGAATCGCTCAAGACAAACCCTCTCTATGAAGCTTTGGTTGAATTCAAGGATGTATTCCCTGAAACTGTTCCGTGCGAATTACCGAAGGATAAAGGTATTCGACACGAGGTCGAGCTTAAACCAGGCTCGAAGTACTGTGCCATGAAGCAGTGGCCACTGCCTCGTGAACAAGTACTTGCGATCGACAAGTTCTTTGCCGATCGTTTAGCTGCGGGCCATGTGAGGGAATTAACTTCCCCACATAGCTCTCCGACCTTCTGTGTGCGAAAAGCAACAGGAGGGTGGCGGATAGTGCATGCATTTAACAAGTTGGACGCTGCAACGGTACCGGCTCAACACCGATACCAAGGAAGGACGTAATCATTGATGGTGTGTCAAAGAGTACCATCTTTTCGTCCATGGATTTGATGGATGGCTTCTATCAAATCCTTATGCGAGAACGGGATATACCCTATACCGCAGTTAGCACGCCTAGCGGCATGCTCTGGGAATGGCTAGTAATGTCACAAGGGCTTAGTAATGCCCCTGCCACGTTCAACAGATGTGTATCACATCTGTTGAGACCATTACGAGAATTCGCGCCGAGTTATTTCGATGACGTATTCATCCATAGTCGGGCTATGGATGGAAAGTCGGATGTTGAGGTTCACAGGTACCACGTCCGATAGGTTCTTACAATCATGCGAAAGCATCAATCGTATGCAAACCTCAAGAAGTGTATATTTGCAGCAAGCGAAATACCACTTTTGGGTGCACGTTGGTAAGAACGGTGTACGTCCTGATCCCGAAAAGATCAAGGCGATCACCGACTGGCCTGTGCCGTTTGATGTCAAAGGTCTTCGAAAATTCCTTGGGCTAGCGGCGTATTTGCATAAGTATTCACGCAATTACGCCGAGATGACTGTGCACCTATCTCGTTTGTTGAAAAAGAACGAGAGGTGGTTATGGAACGCTGAATGTCAGCACTCCTTTGATGGTATCAAGCAGAGCTTGATACAATCCCCAGTCCTAGCAATAGCCGATCAGTACAGTCCATTTCATGTGGTCTGTGATGCCAGCGATTTCGCAATCGGCTGTGCATTAATGCAGTACGATCTTGAAGGCGTTGAACGCGTCGTCTGCTATCAGTCGCGTCAGCTGCAACCAGCTGAGCGGAACTATCCAGTGCATGACAAGAAACTCCTTGCCATGAAGTATGCACTCGCGAAGTTCAGAGTCTATCTATTAGGAGAAAGACCCTTCATTGTTTACACTGACCATGCGTCATTACGCACGGCAGTGAACAGCCCGCACCATTCACAACGAATGGCGCGGTGGTTGTCATTCTTTGCAGAATACAACTTTACGGTCGAGTACAAACCAGGACGGCTCAATGTCGTCGCTAATGCACTCTCACGTCGGCAGAATTTGAACCAGTCGTGAAACCCAACAGTGAGACAGCCACTGTTGCGGTTATGACGTCCTCAGTCCCATCTACAACGTTGTATGATGATGTGAGGCGGGCATACGCCCAAGATGGTGAGATTGTGAAGTTGTTGACACATCTCTCACAGCCATCTCGAGAATCGTTGAAACGATTGTCGTCTGCGTATCGATCTGCATCAGATCGATACACTACTCGCAATGGTTTACAGTATTATACAGCCGTTTCTGGTGACACACCAAGTGTTTTCATTCCAGATGATACTGATCTGCGTTTGCGGATCATGTTCGAGTATCACGATGCTCCTATAGGAGGACATCGTGGCCGGGAGAAAACATATCTCACGGAAAGTCGAGACTTTTACTGGCCCCGCCAGTATCAGTTTGTGCGAAAGTATGTTCGCGCATGCGAAGTCTGTCAACGAGTGAAGTCAAGTCCTTCACTGCGTGCACCTTTACAGCCTCTACCGGTTCCGGCTGAGTGCTGGGAATCCATCTCAATGGTTTTTTTTCGGGTTACCCAAAGACGCACGCGGGAATACGGGTATTCTCGTATTTGTTGACAGATTCAGCAAAATGGTACACCTAGTGGCTGTACCAGAGTCAATCACGGCAAGTGGCTGTGCTTGTGTCTTTATCGACACCATCTTCCGACTTCATGGGTTGCCCCGTGAACTCGTATCAGACAGAGATCCACGATTCACTGCTGATTTCTGGCGTTCCGTGTTCAAATCACTCGGAACGCGCTTGAAGATGTCGACATCTGATCATCCAGAGTCAGATGGTCAGACGGAACGTGCCAATCGTGTCCTCGAAGAGATACTTCGAGGATACGTACACTCCTTTAAGAGTTGGAGTGAGTTTTTGCCAATGGTAGAGTTTGCCATTAACAACTCGGTGCATGCGTCCACGACACATACACCGTTTTACGTGAATGGCTTACGCCATCCACGTGTACCCACCTTACTAGAGTGTAACGCTGGTTTAAGGGGGGGAGGGACTCGCGCGAGCAAAAACCGATTTGGTTTACGCTCATCACGCTCTGACGATGAGGTCGTTGCGTTTGATGCCGATATCGACAACATCGGTATCGAAGAAGATGATGCCAGTAAGAGTGCGGAAGCCCTCACTGAAGAAAAGGTTGATGTTGCTGCAGTGCACTCACAGCGCACTGAAGCTAACGAGTCATCAGATGAATTCATGCTGGCTCGTGAAACGGTAGTCCGTTTTGTGCAAGACTCCATCGCCGGAGCGGTGGATAAGCAAAAGCAAAACGCTGACAAGAATGGAAGGACAAACACTCTTTTATTTAATAAAGGTGACTTAGTCTTACTGTCTACGGTTAATCTACCAAAGCGTGTAGTTGATAACTTGGGTAGCAGTAAACTACTACCCAAGTACATCGGCCCATTTCGTGTATTGCACCGCCTAGGCAATGCATACACGATCGAGTTGCCACGTTAGATGCGAACGCATCCCACGTTTTACGTTGGTCGGCTTAAGCCGTACCATCAGTACGCTGCTTCTTCCGATGAAGAACGCCCTTGCACTCAAGCATATCGCAGAGAGCCTTGTGCTCCCGATGGTGGGCATCGACAAGGATCTGAAGAGCAGTTATCTCAGCCCGAGACCGATCAACATTCCCACGAGCTACCCTTAGCTCGTCACGTAGAGACGTCAGAGCTCTCTCGTTCTCAAGCTGAGCAAAGGCAAACTCAGCTCGATGCCTCAAGACAGTGTCCACCAGTTGGAGACGCCTGTCTCGCTCATGTTCGAGATCACCGCGTAACCCTTGCGTTATGCGATCAAAGAAGCTCTCGGGAACACACGGATCCCCACGATCGTGTGGAGAGCGTCTTCCCTCCTCCTCCACCCCCTATGGAGGACTCTCGCGGTGGCCAGCGCTATCTAGTTGAGCAGCTGTTGAACCACCGCGACGTGAACGGACGTCGGACGAGTTATCTCGTCCGGTGGCGCGGCTATCCCCCGTCCTGAGATTCTTGGGAGACCCGCTTCCAACTGATGGTTGACGTACTGGGTCTGGTTGAGCAGTACGACGCGGCACATCCTGTGCCGCAGAAGGACCGCCGGAGAAAGTCTTCCCGGCACGGTCGTAAAGGGATTTCAGGTTGTCAATCCCTTCGTACATCTCAGTAGAGACACGTACGCGCCACCACGGGCTGGTAAGGAGGTAAGCCTCCTTAGGTGCTCGTGCAAAGTTGTTCACACAACATGGGCACGAGTCTTCCCAAGAGAGGCAAAGTAATCCTTTCTCCCTTGACAGACGATGCAGCTTGTAGCGTGCACCTGTCGGGGTTCGCTTTTCAAACTTATCACGAGCTTTGATAAGTTTCTCGTTCCAAGCGTCACGACCTACATCCTCAAGGTTATGGATGTAGGCGTTCCACGCTTGAAGTAGTGAGGGACCGTCACGCTTGTGATTCCCACTGTACCATCGATGTCTAAAGAAAGAATCGATGAAGAATTCATTCTCAGCGCGGTAATTTTTCGCGCTGGGGTCAAGGTGATGGATCCTTGACGAATCGAACAACCGTGTTCGATAACGATCAATCGTCGTCGCCGACAAGTGATCCATGACAGATTTAGGAGGCATCCATGCCTCCTTCTCAGGAGCGAGACGCAAGACATTGCGGTCCCGCTCTTCCTGCGACGTGCCGACAGAAGGACTGGCACCTCGTTGCGAAGTGGTGTCCATAGGAGAACCGACACTACTGTTAGCGCCCGAGTCTCGCGACCTCGAGCGCCTTCGCTTCGGCGATGGTTCATCTGATTCATCAGATGAACCAAAGATGCTACGACGCATAGCATCATCCATGCCACGCTTGGCAGGCGGCTTGGATTCGATCGTCGTCGATACGGATCCGTCTTCCGTATCAGTAGAGTATGAGACACCGAGCTCATACTCTGTGAAGACATGAGTGTCTTCATGACCAGCGCCTGCTTCACCAAGTGACACAGGCTGGGTCGCTTCAGCAACCGATGAGGCATCAGTTGCTGTGGTTTCTGCTTCGGCGTCCGCACAGAGACGTGCGGACGCGCTCTCGGCGGCCTTGCTCGAGCATCGCATGGGCTTGTTAACCATGCGATGAATTGTTGGAAAGTGGACTCGGACCAACAAGTGCAAACCCCGTCCCAAATGATTTGGGACGAGTATCCATTTAGTCAATCAGTCACTAAAGTGACTGATAATTAAGGGGGGGGGTGTAACGGGGTGAATCGTTACATAACAATTTATACGAAATTGTTAACAGAATATAACTAAAAGAGTTATATTCTCAGAATATTGTCATAAGGACAAATGTTCTGCAGCACTTACGAGTAGTTTCTAATTGGTTGATATTGGCCATTATATTTCAAACAACGAAGACGCGCCACGACAGACGCACGCAATGAGTGGTGAGCAGATAGTTGATATGCACATTTGTATTCAGACATAGTTAGATGAAGATAAATAGTGATTTATTGCAGACATTAACTATTATAAATACAGTTCTACTTTTTACTTAAACTAAGTACTCGCTTCTTCTTACCGTCTTCCTCTGCACGTACGAGTGTACGTGAAGTTCCGAGGCACCGCCTTATTCTGTCATCAGAATAAGTAGCTTGTACTGTCACCAGTACAAGCTTCAGGGTGCCCCGTTACACACAGGCTCACTTGTAGAACACATGTCTAGTTACCCATTAATTTTTTTTTTGGTGGGTGTCGGATGATGCGCTGAATCAAAGAAATGTTTTGGTGAACATGAATGCGCAGAGCACACCCACGTCCAAGTTTTTTGGCGATGGGTGGGTGCGAGAAGCACCAGTATGAAAGTAAATATAAAGTGAGTTTTGCAATAAAAAAGCAAATAATTTAAATCTGTTATCTCTGATTGTATAATTAAAAACGTTAACTAAAATGCCCTAATTACTTACGCATGTAAAAATGTTCCAGTTAAAGAGAAAGCATAAATAGGATAAGTACACCCCCATCTTTGATGAGTGCACATCCATTCAAACTTAACCGATTAATCTGCTTGCCAAAAATTGTACATGATAATACTTGTAATATTGTTTTTAATCAGATAGCACCACGATCATTCTTCATTCGACGATCGTTTCGAGGTGATGTAGAAGCATCAATATTATGGTCCAGGAGTTCAAATCTTGCAGCAATTTACGTTAGACACCAGTCAGAACTAAACTCTCTGTATGTAAGCATGGCACTAATGATTCATGCACCCTGATAAAAATGACAAGAGCAGCATAAGATCCCGTCGACTTAAGTTATGGCATGGCGTTGTCGCCATCTATTTTTCCCGACTGCAAATTGTTCAACACATCTTCTCCTGTCGCCAGTGCATGCCAATTTGATGCTTTCGTAGCGTCTGGATATCTCTCGAACGAGTGGACCACGTCGCCGTGTGAAATAAATTCGTGATGTTCATAAAATTCATCCAAGCTGTTTACTTCTTGTCCACTTAAAATACGAACAGATCGTTGAATATACGAATGAGAAGTTACATTGCATTAGTGTGACATCTTTGCATGAAATGAAGATTAGTGCGGCGCTGGGGGCAGCGCACATTCTCAAGGTGCTGCGTTGGAAGTTAAAAATATGTCGACTCGCACACCAGTTTGTTTAGAAGCCACAAGCACATGCCGAACGTGTAAACGCTCTCTTTTTGTCATTTTCGCAGCTCACGCGCAAGATAGACGATGGAGTGGGGTCCATGATATTTATCTAAGGTGTGCATTTATACTCACTCTAACTAGATGCTGTTATTATTGTTCTACAGGTCGTCCAAGGGCACTTTGACTTATATTAAACTGACAAGAAGGACTGACAATGAAGCAGAAGCTATATACCATTTAAATACAGGATAATGAAAACAGTTCAGAAGTGGAACTTACCTGCTAATTTGGTTATAATTTACACAAAATCAAAGACATATAATTAAAACACTTCTGGATTGATACTTGAGACAGAAACGTTTCGGCAACACGCCAGGGACCTCGTCTGTGACTTTTTCAATAAATAAGTGATCTCTTCCCCATTCTGCGCTGAGTCCAACATAGGTCCTTCTTGAACTTAGTTCAACCACAGATTCTCCATAAAATAACTACCAAGCAGCAGGAACGTTGACCAGGTATGAGCATCAGCCATAACAACTATTTGAAACACCCCCCTTCGACGGCTGAGCTATTGGACCTCTGTCCATCATTATCAATCTCTTTGTCCACGAATCATCCAGAACGCTACCGACTTCGTAATCTCCGAATATATTTTCCGTCTCTGGTAACAGCGCATTCTGAGCTCCCGTGGTCCTGCAGATCTAAAGAAAGACTGTCTTTGTCTTGTATTTGGCGTACCAGCGCATCTTCGAGGCTCCCCTTGCTTGCAAAAAATTCGCGCCGCGCACACTATCCAGTAACCTAAAGCTTCCGTTTTTATCACTGATTGACCTTTTAATCAACCATTATTAACCATATTTATATGCGTTCCATAACAAGCACAAAGCCAGCCATTATCGCATCATCTTTTTTGCACTTCATGCATACTCGTCATTCAGTGCGCTCATATTCGCCTATTTTTGGAATAAACATCTGGCACCTTAGGCAAGACGTGCCATAAGTGGCGACATTTCTGTAGCACAAGTCGGTCCTTGATGAGATGGCTAAATCGAGGTTTTAAGCTCAGGACCTGCAGAAAATAAGAACACATGATAGAATCGACTTTACTTACGGAACTTTGCCAGACGCGTTTCAGTCCGCCGCAGCGGGTGTCCTCAGTGGCTCACCGATCAGTAGTGAGATCTCTCAGTGCAGCGGCCTCTGCTGCTGTCACAAGTTTTTTTTCGCATCGAAAATGTTATATCCTCCTCTCATAAGAAACCATCTAGCACACTTAACTTGCGTACAACCGATACCTTGCTAGGTACAAAATGCAACTTTCCATAAATGTAAAAAGTAAGGACACATATTATGAAATAATTAACTTTAGGGCGCGTGCTAGGCGCGTATTAATCCTTCCGCATATGTAATCTTGTCTGGCAGTCTCGTCATGCTTTCAGTCCTAAACGATACCATTCAGGCTGTAAAATTCCACGAAAGAACTGGTGAGGCTGCAATTAAAGCTCTGCAATCTTTCTTACGGCAAATTCTGCAACCATTTAAAGAAGGGTTCTAGCAAGAGCTTATTTAATTACAACCACAACAACAGGCGAGTGCGAAGCGCACGACGGAAGAGGTTCGTGTTAAATCTGAGATAATTAAAGGGAGATAAAATAATGCGTCTCTTCTTTTGAATATGAGATTTTTGGCCCTGTTGTATACACCCTGTAGCGCGAAGCCGTTGCAGCTCCAATTTGAGCTTAAAGCTAAGGGAAATTGTTTTCTGCTGTTGCAGTTAATTGGTGACATTTGTTTATAATGAGCTTCTGATGAGATGCCCCTGGGTATCTGACGGGTGTGTTGTACGGATGAATGTATAATTTAAGTCTATCCTATACCTAGCTGCAAGCATTTACTGCAGACATATTATGTTGGGACTGGCGACATCACCATGACGATGGATAAGCCACGAGGAGTAGAAGTGGGTGTGCTTGCATAAGTGTGGAACGTTTTAAACTGTCACCCGATTTATAATATTGTGAAGTGTTTCACCAAAAATGTTGGCCCGGTCATGTTCGAGCAAGAGGGATACTTCCCTGCGGCCAAAGGTCTTTGTTATAAGCTTGGTGCTGGCGAAATCAAAGGGATACATAATCGGTGCATGTATCTTCTATTGGTAGTTGAATCAAATGGTACCAGCTCATTAAAATGCCATGGGACATCGTTTCGTGACTCTGGCACCTCCGACTAGGTCACATTGGCTAAAACCGAATTTATCGTTTATACAAACTGGTCACAAAAGGAGATGGTACTGATATCAAGTTGACATCATTGCGCAAGTGGGAAATGGTGAACTCGGCAAGCAGACGTGAATAAAGTCCAGGTTGAACTCTACCTAGTGGTCCGCGAATCTGGCCAAGCCAATGCTCCAAGGCATTTGCAGAGCCATATGCAGTCCTATCCATACCGCAACATATCATGGCAATCGCTTCTTCGTCAGTCTGATATACGAGTAGCATTAAGGTTTCACCTACCCACTAAGGGTAAATAAGATGTAGCGGCAAATTTTCTCACTTTGTTGCTCTGACCGATAATCGGTCTAACATTTGAGCATGATACGTTTTGGTTTGACAGCTGCGGGGGACATAATTCTGGTTTCATGGCTAAGTTCTGTGCAGATAGCGGCTAAATGCAGAATATTAAGCCTCCTTACACTCCTTAGCTGAAAAAAATGCCGAGTGCATGACCCTCACACTGGTTCAATATGGTTTCTGATGCTAGCGTAGAGTACGCTGACTGTATAAAGTCATATCGAGATAATTCTGTCATGACTGCCTCATATTTTTTGACAATTAGCTCTCATAACGTGCGCTCAGTCATGACATTTCACAATATCAAACTTGTACTTGCGATAAATATTGTTGGCGAGCCTGAAAGTTTTCAGTTGCTATGCTGTCGTCTAAGTGCCCTTGAATCAGATCTCAAAATATTTGACGCTCGCTCGGTGATCTTTTGAATTCTTGTCTATTCCAAGCATCAAAATAGTATTTGCTTAAGAAAATTGAAAACCGTCGTGTGAGCATGAGTCGTGACGCGCAATTTAAGGAAGACGTCTTTGATTATGTGAAGCGCTGTAGTACAGCCTTCGCTCAAGATAATTGATGCTCGATAATTTTTTTTTAAATGATATGACTAGTTAAGACACCGATAAAGCGAAGTTCAACCAAGAGATCCGCGGTCTCAATCGGACGCCAAATTTGAGCCTGGTGGCAATCAAAACTAGCGGAACTGGTCACTTGAACAGGCAGTGCATACCCTCCGGATCAAAAAAACAATGTCTTTACCGACTGCTTCGTGCGATGTCCGCGACAGTTAATAAATTTCGGAACCTCACATATGGTAAATTTACTTGGGGGAAATGCCATCTACGTTCCAGTCGTCGATGGAATCAAGCAACGAGGCCTATTAGGTAGATGTCTGCAACTCCGAAGTGGCATCATTGCACAAGCACAAGACTTGGAAATTAATACCGCTTCCACAATTTCGCAAAGCCACCATTTTTGATGGCTTTTTCGGATCAATGATAATTAAGCTGGCGAGATCGATCCATTCAAGGCGCGACTAGTGGCCAAGTGTTTCAGCAGAATTATGATGTCGAATATGTAGAAATATTTGATTTGGTAGCCAAGTTCACGTCGATCAGGATCCTGCTCAGATTTTCGGCCAAATGCAACATGATTTTGTATCGATTGAACGTCAAGATAGCTTTTCTCGGCGGACTTCTCGACGTATTAACACCGTGAAGCCCGACGGATACATCAACGAAGCTGAGCCAAAATATGTCTGTCAGCGCAAGTGCTCTCTCTGGGGCTTGATTGGGTCACCGAGCATGAAGAATTAAAACTATTGGCATGTAATGATCAAGATCGGATCAAAGAAGGGCAAGGCCAATCACAATATCTGCGCCAACAGGGACGAGAAAGGCATGAGTTTTGTGGCACTTTACGTATAAGATTTGGTTTTGATGTGTAATAACATCGAATTGCTTAAAATGACATAGAAGGCGCTACGCGACCAATTCGAGATGACAGACTTCGGTCGCCTAAAAAACCTTTAGGGCATTGCCAATGTAAGCGATTTCAATAGAGGAAATGATTCCGTTCGTTAAAACAAATTTGCCGCAGACATTCTGGAGAAGTCCGGCATGTTTAACAACAATTTTGTCAAGACACCACAATATTCTGGACTCCAGTTAACCTTAAGTGTAGCGGAGCACCCTTTTTTGGGTGCCACCGAACTCTACGTACACTAGTACATGCAGAGGAAGATGATTTTCTTAACGACTCGTTCAGGTAAAGGTGAACAGAGAACTGTATCTAGAATAGCTTAGCTATTAATATAACTCAATCTTTATCTGATTGTGTAAATCTACATTGTCTTATGACGACAACCTGCTCACAACACATAACGCGCGTCTAGCAGCGATTAGTGGTAATCTATCGTTGATATGTACCTACATCAATCAATCTTCGAGCTACACGTGAATATAACCTCAGGGGCAATATTTCTTTAATATTATCGATCTCGGGCAATATTGGCAGTGGATTGTCACGTCAGACAATGTCCCTATTGACACCATTTGGAGGCAATATCATGTAACGGGCTACCCCGTAACATCACCCCCCCCTTAACCATCATTTACCCGCGTTTGAATGGAATTGATTGGGACAAAGTCACCGCTGTTGGATCACCCATCTGCCAACCCAACCCATGGTTCTGAAACTTATGCAATTTGCTACTGTAGCAGCGAGAAAAGCGGCTGCACGCATGCGTGCAGCCGAAGACAGTTCTATTCACGCCTCAGCAGCAGGTGATTTGTCGCTTGTTGTTGTGAACAGTCCACGTGGTGAGTCACTACGTGCGACAGGTACATCCGCTGCGTCTGCAGCGGGTGAGGCGAATCGCCAAGCAGATGAGTCTGAGATGGAGCTCATCTACGCTGGCGAGTCGGATGGTGCATCCGAATCGAAGACGACAACACACGCCTCCGGATCATCCGGGGCGGACACTTTAAGAGCCAGGTTGACTGGCTCCGGCAAGCGTGACGGCGTCATGCTCAAGATCTTCGGATCGAGCGATCATTCCGACGAATTCTCGCCTTACGCAAGTCCTTCCAACGATAGGACGCGTAGTGATGGTGGTGATGCGTCTAAACATCACCACAAGCAAAATACGCGAGGGACCGAGCTGCCACTGGTGTCAGTCCTCATGCTGACACCAATCAAGAGGCCAGGAACCGAAATGTGCTGTGCCACGCTCCACAAGTGGAGTCTCCGTGGATGCCTTCATCCAAAGAGTTGGACCGGTTGGCCGGCATGGCCACCGAAAGGGACCAAATCCCGTTGTTGGACTGTAGGAGGGCTTGCTCTCCTAGCTCCAGCACGGAAACTATCCGTGCTGAGAAATAGTTATTCACCGATGTGTTCATCAAATATTGGTGGTACAATGGCAACCGTGGCAGTGACGGTAAAGCCTTGGTGCAAGGATGGAATGGCTTTATCCATAACATCAATTGCATTGGCCATGAGGCATGGCTCGGTAAACTTGATGCAGCTCGCATCAGGTTTGAAAAATGCAACTTATTCGGGGTGCGGTACAAGTTGCACCTGCTTTCAAGAGAGGCAGGATTACCCTATCACTCGTGATGTGGTTCATGTCCTGGTTGCCTGGACAACTCAAACCATGCCCCTAGGGAGGCTTACTTACCTAATGATCCTCATTGGAGGGCGCGCATCTCATCTGAGATGGCGGAAGGGATTGCCACTTTGCAATTCCTGTACTCGCGTTCTGGGAGGTCGTTTTCTGACGGCCCTTCTTCGAACGCAGCGGGTGGGTCTCGTCATACTGCTCGACGAGACCCAGGACATCAGCGATCAGCTGGGAACGAGGCTCTCAGATTTCCCGAGTCGGTGGATAGCCACGCCAGCGGACGAGGTAGCTCTTCCGGACGCCAATCACGTCGCGGTGTTTCAAGTGACTCTCCACTAGAAATCGTTGACCACCGCGAGATTCAATTGAAGGATGTAGTGGTGCGGGACCACCTGATCCGGCTCGAGGGTCGGATCAGCTTGATGTTCAGGGGATAAACCGTGTAAAGAAAGAGTTACGCGATAATTTGCTTCACAAGTGGACTCGGCGTTACGAGCTTCACGATCTTGTAAAGGAATATTACAATTCCTTAGCGCACGGTCGTTCCAGCGATCGTGCTGCGTTTGTGTTCTCGCAGCTTGAAAACAAATGTTCGATTTGCTCTCTTCGTGACGAGATGGCTGCAGCTCGTCAGGAAATCGCTCATCTGCGTGACCAGGTCGCTTCGCTAGCCGACCATACTGGCTCATTAAAACGAGACCTCTCGAAGGTGGTCTCGGCCCTTGATCGCGGAGGTGTTCTCCGCCTTTCGAAACGGGCTCGTACTGATACTACGGGCGGAGACGTTCAACTTAAAACGTAAAACGCATTTTACGATGCAGTTAGAGTTTTTATGCGTTGCCCATGCGGCAATATACATGAAATGGACCGATTTACCTGGGCAGTAGTTTACGGCTGTCCACAGTGGTCACTGCATGTTTTGGTAGATTTGCTGTTGACAGTAAAACTAAATCTCCTTCATTGAATGAAAGAACGTTTGCTCTTCCATGTCGGTCCGCATTTATTTTGTGTTTATCTATTGCATCTGCAACAGAGTCTAGAACGAAGCGGAAAACCGCCTTGCAACTCAGCAGAAATTAATCTGCTGGCTTGTCCTTGTTGTGAGAAGTGATCTTTGTGCGCAATGCTGAAAGGACGTTGTCTTTACCAGTGAGGGCGTCATCGTCCTCACTGTGGCATTTGTCGACGATGCTGAATATACCAGCATCTTCGTCATCACCATCATCGATGTCAATCGCATCGACATCGGCATCCATCACGTCGATACTATTGTCGACGTGTGATGAGCAAGAACCAGATCGGTTGTTATTCGAGCGAGTACCCTCCCCCCCCCCCCGCTTAAATTAGAGTCACACTCTAAGAAGGCGGGCAGACGTGGATAGCGTAGGCTATTCACGAAGAATGGTGCATGCGAAGTCGACGCATGCACCGGTTGTTGATAGCGAATTCCAGCGAGAAATCACTCCAACTAGTAACAAGTGGACATACCATCGAAGTATCTCTTCGAGGACACGTTTGACGCGTTACGTCTGACCATATGTTTCACGATGGCTAGAAATCGACATTTTCAAACGTGTTCCAAGAGAATGGAACACGGATTGCCATAACTCTGCTGTGTAGCGGGGGTCCCTGTCAGACACGAGTTCATGGGGCAACCCATGAAGTCGGAAGATCGTATTAATGATGTCACGAGCACAGGCCTGGGGTGTGATGGACTCCGGCTCAGCAACAAGATGTACCATCTTGCTCAACGGCTTAACAAACACATCAAAACCAGTATTCTTGTAAGCGTCTTTGGGAGATCCAAAGACGAAGTCCATCGAGACGGACTGCCTGCTCTCTGCAAGAATCGGTGGAGGCTGCAAGGGTGCGCAGATTGAAGGGCTAGGCTTCACTCGCTGACAAAACTTGCAAGCATTAACGGACTTGCGCATGATTTTATACTAGAGAGGCCAGTAGAAGTCATGTCTTACCGTGAGGTAAGTCTTTTCTCTACCGCGATGCCCACTGGTTGGGGCATCGTGACACTCATACATGATGCGCAATCGCAAATCGTTATGAGCGGAGCGACGACACGATGTGTGTCTCCGTTGACTGCTGTATAGTACAACAGTCCATCACGAGCCGAATACCGTTCGGTTGAAGAGCGGTATTGAGACGTCAAGCTTTTCAAAGCTTATCGGCATGAAATTATGTACAAAAGATATTAACTACAGAAGGGACTCATCTTTCGCGTATGCTTTATGCACGTCGTCGAGCAGCTCGAAGACTGAACAATCACTGCTTGTGTTGCAGCAGTGGAATTTTCTCCCTTCAGTTGGGTTGGGCAATCGGCTCGAAATCGGGGCCGACCCGAAAGAGCATCAGCGACGACATTGAGTCGTCTTGGTTTATACTCGACGAAGAAGTTGTACTTCGCGAAGAAAGACAGCCACCTCACCATTCGTTGCGAAAGGTGGGGACTGTCTACGGCCGTGCATAACGAAGTTTGGTCGGTGTAAACGATGAAGGGCCTATCTCTTGAGAGGTATACCCGAAAAATAGCAAGTGTATATTCCATGGCAAGAAGTTCCTTGTCATGCACTGAGTAGTTCCGCTTAGCTTCTGTTAGCTGACGCAATTGATAGCAGACGACGCGCTCAACGCCGTCTGAGTCGTACTGCATTAACGTACAGCCGATTGCAAAACCACTGGGGTCACAGACCACATGGAATGGTCTATCCTGGTCCGCAATCGCCAACACAGGCGATTGTATCAAGCTTTTCTATAAGTCTTCAAAGTAGTGCTGATACTCAGCAGTCCATAACCACCTCTCGTTTTTTTAACAAACGAGAGAGATGCGTATTCATCTCGGCATAGTTGCGCGAGTACTTATGCAAGTACGCTTCCAAGCTAAAGAACCTTCGTAGTCCCTTGACATCGACTGGAACAGGTCAATCGCTAATCGCCTTCATCTTTTCCGGATCAGGGCGTACACCGTTTTTACCCACGATGCAGCCAAGAAGTGGTATCTCTTTTGCTGCAAAGATACACTTCTTGATTTTCGCGAACAACTTATGCTCTTGCATAAGTGTAAGGAACTTTCGGACGTGGATTCTGTGTACCTCCACGTCCGTCTTTCCATCCATAGCCCGTCTATGGACGAAGACATTGTCGAAATAACTCGGTGCGAAGTCGCGCACCGATCGCAACAGATTCGTAACACATCTGTTGAACGTTGCAGGGGCGTTACTTAGCCCCTGTGGCATCGCTAGTTTCCCAGAGCATACCGCTGTGGGTGCCTACTGCTGTGTACGGGACGTCTTGTTCACGCAAAAAGATCTGGTAGAATCCATCCATCAGATCCATGAACAAAAAGATGGTACTTTTTGCCATACCATCTATGATGACATCCTTTCTCATTATCGGCGTTTGAGCCGGTGACGTTGCAGCGTTTAATTTGTTAAACGCGTGCACTATCGGCCACCCACCTGTGGCATTTTGCACACAGAAGGTAGGAGATCTATGAGGGGATACTAATTCTTTCACATGACCAGCCGCTAAGCGGTCAGCAAAGAATTTGTCGATCGCTGTGACCTGTTCACGAGGCAGTGGCCACTGCTTCATAACACAGTATTTTAAACCAGGTTCAGTTCGATCTCATGCTGAGTGCCTTTATCCTGTGGCAGCTCGCATGGCACGGATTCAGGGAAAACAATTTTAACGAATCCTCACGCAAAGGTATTGTTTTCAAAGCCTCCCAAGATTGAGACGTGTATCGCTCAATCTGGGACTTCTCATCCAATATCGTCCATCGATGAGCTACAGAGAAGCCGTTCGTTCTCATTATACACTCGTGCCAACCAAATACCGGCGACGTACTCGTCCTCTGTGACGAGTACGCAGATCTGCTTGATCTTGTCACTACGCAGATCTCGCAAATTCCTTTTAGATTCTAGCGTCAGCAATTTTAGTAAATCCAAAGCTGACTTCGAAGGTGTTACCGGATCAAGTTTACAAGCGCCTGCAATTGATTCGTCATTCACCAAGACATTTACTGTCTCGGTGATTTCCTAATAAAACACATCTGCAGGTATTTGGGGATCCATACCCTCAACATAACTCTCTCGTGAGTTATTACTCTTAGGAACGCTGAACTTTTTTTTAATGCGTGTTCTGACTGTGAATGTACTGCCACACTCTGTTCCGCTTCGATAGACTCTCTTTCAGTCGGTCGGGTTTGCTCTACGGTTGACTCTCTGCTAAACGATTTTGCTTCAATGTGTTTTCACTTTGAACAACTCTCATCTCTCTTCTTTGATGCACCCTGCTTGGTGTGCATCCATTTTCCAATCCAGTCGATCTTTCCGAGTGTTGAACTTTCGGCGCATCCTGCATCTCTACACAGGTGTTGGAAGCTGGTTCTACAGTGTAGTGTCCTTCTACACTGTGATCTTGTGCAATCGTACTGACGACCTTAACTTAAGTGGGACCATCGCACTCACTCGTACTACATCCACACACTTGTGGAAGCTCCAAGACGTTTATCAGATAGTCATCTGATGAAAAAACGGCAGGCATCTTCACGGATCGATGCTGCCAGCTGATCCATGGCTGGTACTTTCCAAGCCATGGCAGACCGAGGATGACATCAAATTTGTCATCCAAATCCAGTACGATAAAGTCATCATCATACGTCTTTCCCTCTAGCGTTTAAATAATCTACCGACACGTTTCTTCACTGATACTGAGGCGCCTGTTGCGAGGTTCACAGTCCTACTCATTATCGAAATGTCTTGCTTAACAAATCGTTTGGTGAAGCGACGATTCAAAAATGATGGATTTGAAAGTTGGGGAGCCGGATGGACCTGAGACCTCGCGGCCGGAAAGAGACCAGAGACCTGAAAGTTACAAGGTAAGAGTGGCCGTCGGGTCCAACCGTGACGAGTGGTTAAGGTTACCACTAACAGGATCACACCAACCGACGGTACCAGTTCAACGGTACCAATATGGATCGTTCTCAACCACTTGTCGGTAGGCCTGGTCGCCTAAGGTGGACCTCGGTTCCCCGTAGGCCGACGTGGCCACCCATCGGCAACCTTCTCACTCATAGATAGACTCGGTTCCTCAAGGTATGGTGGCTTCTATCCACTCATTATTGCAGACCCAGGTGCAAGGCAAGGATAGAGTAAAGGAGTTGAAAGGATAGGATTACATTAAATACTACTCAATTTGCGATCTAAGTAGCACGACGTTTCGTGAGCTAAGAAACTTGTAAGTCTACCGACCTGTTCCGGACCAGGGATCTGTTTGGACCACCCGTCGAATAGACAATTGTCAGTACGACACAAGCGTAAGTGGAACCCCAGGAAGTACATTGGCCCGTTGGCTCGTAGAGTAGTATCCCCAAATTAAGCCCGCCATGGGAAGCGGCGTCCGTACCCTAGTGGTAAGGGAGGAGACACGTAAAGGCCAGGCGACTAACACCCCTAAGACAATTAAAGGCCAGGCGCTACCAGCACCTGAGTCAACTGGTTATAAGACCACTCTTGACCAAGTCGATCGAGTGGCCAACTACACTGGACCCCGACTGAAGCATATCCGCTCGATTCCCCCCAGGTATACATCCATCAGGACCGATGTCTACATCATCAACAAGCTCTCCAAAGAGTTAAAACCACCAAGACGACTAATACAGAAGGTGGGTCAAGGTCCAGAAGCGGCATCGGGTAACCACCTCCGACGGTCGGCAGTCCGGCACAGTGTGTGGTTTGGGGTATCTTCAGACAGTGTTAACAGCCCACTCAACCACAGTTAAGTATGCTATCCTCTAGCGAATGGCCTCGAATAAAAGTGTTCGACGCCCCACAGTCAACTAGAGCGAGAAGAGACATTCCACTTGTCACTTCAATCTTCAAAGTGATGAGTGACACCTCATCACTAGAGGCAGTAGCACAAAGTGACTGTGTGTTGTGAGCAATCTTCGTCAAGAGTCCTGCGAATTCTCTTGACGTTGCTGGATCAGCAGGGTGCTCCGCCCCTACTGACCCTGACCGTTTTATGGCGGTCCGACTTGCTGTCGCGGTTCATCGACAAGGTCGGACCCGCGCCTTGGAACATTTCTCGGCCAACAGCGGTCATCACGTTCTGTCTTAGGACGCAATGTGGTGCTTGGAACACTGCACTCATGAGCGTAGTGTCCAATCTTCTGAAAGCGATGGAATCTTGCCGTTCGCTTGTGACTCAGAGAGCGATAACTCTCGCTATCGATGTAACA